AAAGGACAAAGTCAACATGACTTTGTTCAGCAACTCAATTGATCAATTCAAGTTCAAAAACCAAACGCTTGACTACATTGATCAAGCCTTTAATGAGTCTGAATACATGCAATTATGATCTTGTGAAAATATTAAAGATTCAAAGTTAAAAAAGAAAAATTGACGATCTGAACGATCTGAACAAATCCAAACTTTTCTTAATGATTTGTATCACTTGATCTTGAAAGTCCCCCATGATTAGTCTTTGAATGTTGATTTTCTTTCATTTGAACTGTACATGCTATATGAATGTTGACATTCTACATATTCATCTGATTGGTATGAAGTCAAGTTGAAGATATCTGATCGAGCTATTTTAATTAAAAAACACCAAAAATTGAAGATTGAAACAACATGAATCAGCATTGATTGTTCTTGATTTAGTTCATGTGACTGTGAGGCTTGGATTTCATCGTGTGTGGAAGGTGAATGTGGAAGGTGAAAAGGAGGTGTGGGTTGACTTTGGTGTTGGAGGTTGGGTTGAGTCTCGTTTTTGGAGTCGAAGTTGCTGTCAGCTAGTCGCGATGTGTGTTAATGCATGCGTTAGCCAATCGGTAAATTTACCGATTTGCTAACACAAATTGATCAAAAGTTAACTACCGCGGGGCTAATTTTCCACCGGTGTGGAAAAGACCCCGCGGTTGCGTTAAATTTAACCTTACCGCACCCGATTTACCGCACGAGTGCGGATGCTCTCAGGCTCGTTGGGCGTCTTTTCTAGGGCAGTTTCAATTTGAAATTCTTCACACTCCTGGGAAATTGAATCCGGCTGACCCTACTTCTAGCAACACCCAAACCCCGCCGCGGAAAACTGGGGCAGCGCGGGGGTCCCGCCGCACCCTCAGTCTACTGAAGTGGCACTGGGATAAAAGCGCGCCGGGTCCCGGTTTTTACTGGGGTCCGACCCGCCGCTGCCCCATTGACGGGACCCCAGGGGGAACCCAGGGGCCCAGTTTGGCTCGAAGAGCAAAATAAGATAGTTGAATGAGATTTTCCTGCTATCTAGATATTTTTTCACCATATAAGGCAATCAGTGATGTATACTTAATCAACTGGACTGAATCATACTGAGGAAAGTTGATACAATTGGTGATTCAAAAGCCAATGATGTCATACTAATAACGTCTTTTGGTTGAAGAAGAGGTTCAGATCAATTCAAGAACAAAAGTAACGGACCAATGCAGAAATGTATAACAAATTGATCAAAGGCTGTACTTAACCAATAGATCAAAGAACATGTTTGATGAATTCATTCAAGAATGAAACCAAAGGATCGATCAAAGATGTGATTGGAAAGTGGTGAAAATCAATCAAGATGAAGGGAACCAAAAAAAAAGAGAATTTGTAAAAGGTTTAAGTGGAAATCAGTGGTTCAACTTGATCGATCGATTTTTATCAACTTTTAAGTGAATGCAAAACAGAATATTGATTCCAAAGCACTATCTCAGAGTTGAATCCTTGGTAATAGAACAGAACAAGGCCTTTAGCAATCTCCCAATCCTATCACCCCTTCGATCAAATCCCCTTTCCACTTAACTTTCTCCTCTGTCCTCCTCAAATTCAAGTTCTGTCTTGAATTTTCTTTTCTCAAATTCTTTCTCAGATGCATTCTGTGCTATGAATCCTTCCACTTTGTCTGTTAAAAGCAAGCTTGGACTTTTTTTTGGCGGCCATTTGTTTTTTTCAAATTTAGTGAAAAAAACCCAGTCTGCGGCGCGCTGCGATGGTCTCAAGCGCGCCGCGGTCCCCTTGAGAATTTTTCTCACTGTGGTAGCGATGCGGTGAGGTCGCCTTGAAACTGGGCTTGATCGCACCTCTGCCTCCGTGAACCCAAAATCCGCCGCGCTGCGGCGGGGTTTGGGTGTTGCTTCTAGGCGTTCGGATTTAACGGACGGCAAGAACGTGTCGGATAAAGTTGTCTTGTTGGGCATGCGGAATTTGGCGAATACTGCTATTCAGGCAGTTTCTCTACGCAGGGACAAGATTTTCGGTCGTTCGGATCCGTCTTCCTTTTTACCTGCCTCCATGGAAACTCAATCTTGGTTTCAAGGTCTTTATGCAACTGACAGTTTGATTCACGGAGTCCGGCCAAAGCAGTTGACCTTTCAAGATTCCTTATGGTGGTGGCGGGATCGGATTTATGTCCCTCTGGAAGCACACACCGCTGTTCTCAGACAGATGCACGAGTCGACGGCTGCTGGGCATTGGGGAAGCATGAAAACGCTTGATTTGTTGACCAGGACTTTTAGTTGGCCGAATGTCCGAGACGATTTGCTGAAATTTTTGAAACTTTGTGTTAGCTGCCAACGAGTGAAGGTGGATCGCCGTCCTCCTCAGGGAGAATTGGTTCCGCTGCCTATTCCGGAGCGTCCTTGGTCGACGATTGGCGTGGATTTTATAGTGAAATTGCCATTATCAAACGGTTTTGACTTGATTATGGTGGTGGTTGATCATCTAGGAAAAGGAGCACATTTCATTCCGGCGAAGGAATCTTGGAATGCTGAGGAATTAGCGACTGCTTTTGTTTCCAATATTTTTCGTTTGCATGGCTTACCAGATGTTATTGTTTCAGATCGTGGGACTACCTTTATGTCGCGTTTTTGGACAGCGGTTTTGAAAATGTTGAATGTCTCTCCTGCGCCATCGACAGCTTTTCACCCGCAGACTGACGGGCAGGTTGAGTGTGTTAATGCATTGGTCGAGGATTTTTTACGGCACTTTGTTTCGGACAATCAGTCTGACTGGGTTAAATGGTTACCATTGGCGGAATTTGCCTATAACAATTCGCCTTCGGCCTCTACCGGATTCTCACCTTTCTTCGTCTACACGGGGAGTCATCCGCGGTTTAATTCTCTCATTGCATCGTCTGGGGTTCCTCGAGCTGACGATTTTGTTGCTCACATGCAGCGGATTCATTTGTCTTTAGTAGCGAATCTGACTAAGGCGAAGGAGTCTCAGGCACGTTTCTACAATGGTTCACGACGGATAGCGGCTACGTATGCTCCGGGCGATCTTGTCTGGTTGTCTCGTAAATATTTGCGAACTTTACGCCCATCCAACAAGCTCGATGTTAGGCGCATTGGCCCTTTTCAAGTCAAACGCATGGTGGGACGTAATGCTGCTGAGTTACTTTTACCTGTCTCACTTCGTCGCTTGCACCCGGTCTTTAATGTGTCACTTTTGTCTCCCTTTCACGGGGAAATCTTTCCGGATAATGTTCCTTTTGTTGGTCTTCAAGAGGAAAATCAGGATGCGGGCATTGTTTCATTTATCATCAATTACAGGCGATCGGCGTTAGGAGTTCATGAATACTTGCTACGGGGTGGTGATGCTTCTGGCCTGGATGATGTTTGGACGCCTTTAACTAGAATTTCAACTGCTTTAGATGATTGGTTGCGTCAGTTTCATGTGCTATCTCCTTCTTTGGGACGAGGTCCGTCGGTGGATGTTTGGGAGGAGCGTGCGAGGATCTGTTAGAACTTGTAGTATAAGGTAGAGCATATTTGTCATAAACTTAGTTAGTCTAGGACTATTAGGGTTTTGTTCTTGTCGGTTATATCTTAGTAGTCAGGAAGTCACTAGGACTTTGCCTAATTTGTTATTTTTCTTTTAGTTTCTGTTTTAGCATTACGTGTTTATTTGTTCCTTGTTCCTTAATAGTGTTTTCTTCTTCTCTTATAAGTTGTAACGTTTTTCTCTTCTTGGGATTTCTCTTTTCTCTTTATCGAAATATCTATTATCACTACACCAAATGTAATCTTTACCGGGCGGTAAAGAAAACTACTGACATAGAAAAGTCCTGAGGCAACAGGAAGAGAGCTAAAAATCTGAAAAAATATGCACCTTGTTCCTAGATGTTGGGGCGTCATGATGAGTATTTTTTTGTATTTTACACACAGATATTGGTTTATGTACTAACAACAAACACTGAAAATCATCAAAAACGCACATGTAACAATACCTGAAATTTGGGTCATGAGTATGAAGACAATATTTTGTGGTCTAAAAACTTCAATAACTTTTGCAATTCTGCTCCAAATAACTCGATTTTTGGTTCATTCAAAAGCTGAACTATTCTCCTTCACACTTCATAATGTCAGTAAGGTTCTATCTAGTCATTAAACACTCTACATATGTCA